TCTCTCTCTCTCTCTCTCTCTCACACACACAGACGCACACACAAACACACACATACACACACACGCAGACACACACATACACACATATACACTAGCAATCTCAGACCATTTCTCACTATCCAAATGGTTTATAAGGCAACTTCTAACCTGTCTCGGTGCCTCTCTCTCTCCCAAATACAATACAACCTCACAAAACATAGAGACATAAAGAAAAGGTAAATGCACACAATAATATTATAAATAGTATCATATGCCTAATGCCTGCCTTGTCTTACAATTAATATCTGCCCATTACGTCACAACTTCAGAAGATGGCATTGTTTACTGAGTAAATATAAGTAAAAGCAGCTCTTTATGTGTGTTTAAGAACATGATCTGGCAGAAGTATAAAGATGTTTTCTATGAGTCACTTAATAATAAAATGAAGTTCACTTTTTCCGGCGCACACAACAAATACAAGTGTGTTTATATGCATTTCTCAAATAGAGAATTCTTGCAATGCCATATTATTTATTCACTTCACTCAAACATGATTTGGGAAAACATTAGAGTTGAACTCAGGATCATGAAACAGAAACTCAAACATGAAACGAAAAATGAAATCATATTATTTATCAGACCAAGACAATAGGGACGGAAATCTGTACGATATACACTCTGATATATATATATATATATATATATATAATATCAGTAAATCGATGCTCATAATCACTGAAACATTTACCCAATGTTTTGCGTATTTGTACGTTCTACATATCCTCAAGATCATCACTAATCTGTGGACATGCCCAAGTGCTGCTACAGTAAGTTTTTAGACTTGCTGACGAAAGTTGTAAAATATTACTAAAAAGATTTCCCACGGAATATCAAGTGGCTGTTTTTTGTTTTTCTAGCCACACGAGCAACCAAACATCTACTTCCTTGTTGTGGATATAATTTCAAGGTATTCACCAATGGACAGACTGATCGGCAATTTACTGTTTTAATCCACTTTTGAAGAATAATGAAAATGTTGTAATCCATTTTCTAAGAAATATGAAACCGCTTTAATCCGCTTAGAAAATATGAAACCTTTCCTCGTCATCCTCGTGCAGGTCTGGACATTCGGCGAAAACATTGCACATTGCATAGGGATTCATGGCCTCGTAAGAACAGTAGCAACAATCTAATAGTTGTAATGAACAGTGGCGGACAGGGCGATATGAAAGCACTTGAATGAGAAAATCCTTGAGAAACGACACCAGTAAGAGGAATACGTAACTCTAGTTCTGTATTCAGAGACGAAAGCCAATCGTCGGCCAGCTGTTCAGATGTGCTAAGCCCAACATTTTGACAACCTTTTTTCCTCATTGCAGTTTCTTAATCTGTGGTGTCAGTTGCATGTACATAAGAGACAATCTGTCGAAATTGAAAATTTAAATAAATGCCGAAAAAAAGAAAAGATATACGATTTTTTGGGAACGTAAAAAAAGGGACGAAACTGTTGTTTGCGTTTTCTTTTCTCTCTCTCCGGAACAATATTATTTTCCTTTCTGGGCTTGCAACATTTGAACAGCTTTCGGACGCGTTGCTCTTTGTGACGGACGAATAAAAGCACATCAAGTACCCAAGTCTGCCGCCCTATGACAAAATACTGTATATATATATATATATATATGCCAAAACTGCAATTTTAAAAAACTAACTTTGTGAGTGCGTGTGTTTCAACTTAACTAAAATTTGGTCGATATGATTATGTTAATATTCATTGGTAGGTGTAACTTTTGTCTGATTTGCTGGGGTATACAGTAAATAGTTATGAAGTAAATGATTTAAATTTATTTTCTCATAAAAATATCGATATGCAATTAGATCACAACGCATTTTTTCAAAAAGCCAAAAACTCCCTTAATTCTAATAAATAGCCATAAAACCAAGATAGAAAGACGCGCCAAGAAAAGGGGTTTCTCCCCAGTATAAAAACGTTACTTTGATCTAATTACGCATATACATTTTTTGTCTTAAGACAGCAGAAGTACCCCTCTGTCTTCTGGTATTGGGGGCTGCATGGAGTATCTTGTTTCTACCGCAGCTTTACTACTGATGGGATACGCTATGCCTTCAGTAATCATGTAAACAATTGCACTTTTTCAAAATTCTTGTATGTGTCATTGTGACACTGTTATGGCTCATTTTCTTTATTAAAATCTGGTCGTCGATTGAAAACTCAACTAACGGAGATCATGCAAGGCAGGCCTGTGCATTCTTCCAAAAGAGGCCAAAGGAAAGTTCATTACAAATTAATTTCTCTTTTGGGGTTTATCCCCGAAATAATTCTACTAATTAAAAATACTGATTCCTCGCTAAATAATATAATTGTCTTTTTTTCCACGAAGATGCAAACCAAGATCTTATTGGAATGTTTGATGGTAAAAGTTATGGCTTCTTCCCAAGACACAATATCCTGTCCTTGGGAATGTAGTTCACAAATAACTTAATCACAATCTGTACGTAAAATTATAAGTTACAATTCTGTCTTTTTCGTTGGCTTCGTATTTTTAAGAACTTGCTTTGCGGGCTGTTTCTGCGGGGGCAGCTTTTGTTGGGGCGGTTTCTGGTTTGTTGACTTGGGTGTTGGAGGTGATTGCTTCACTGGCTGCTTCTGCTTCAGGTTTGCTTGCTGTTTCACGGGTGCTTGTTGTTTTTGTTGTTGTTTGACCGGTGCTTTCTGTCCCGTCTTCTGTTTTTGTTGTTGTGGCGGTGGTTTTTGCTGTTGCTGTTGCTGCGTCTTTGCTTTCTGGGCGTACTGTTGTTTCAGTTGTTGAAGTTGCTGTGGTGTGAGTTGCTTAGTTGCTGCTGTCTTGCTGTCCATGGGTGACTTTTTGGCTACTGGGGCTGTTTTGCCAGCGGCTCTGAGTGCAGCTGCCTTCTTTGCCGCTTCGAAATTCGCATTCTTTGGAGGAGCTTTCTTCGCCGCCTGAAATTTCTTCTGCTGAAGGGTTGGGGCGCTGAATTTGACTCCCTTTTGGAAGGTCGGTTTTATTTTGCTGGGTACAACTTTGATCGGTGTGTCCGAAAGTTCGTCGTTTTTGTTGTCATCGTCATCGTCACCATCGTCGTTACCGTCCTTCTTGTCAGCCTTGTCTTTTTTATCGTCGTCGTCATTCTCGTCATCGTCATCATCGTCGTCGTCTCCATCCTTTCCCCAGATGAGCTGCTTGACTACGTCGACAAGGTCGTATTTCTGGTCGTGAGGCTTCTGCTTGACCACGGGTGGAGGGGTCTTATTTTGTCTCTTTTTGAGCCCATCATGCTCCAGAGCGGCTGCCATCATTTTCTTGAGGGCGTTCTTGATCCTGATCCAGAAGGTCGCTCTCTCTTTGGCCTTGCTTTTCTTCACTGGTGGCTTGATGGGTTTCTTGGGGCAGCTGTCCTTGTCGCACTTGCCGCCATCTTTCTGATCGGGAACTCCATCTCCGTCATCATCGTTATCCAAAGAGTCGGGGATTCCGTCGTTATCGTCATCATCATCAAGATAATCCGGAATACCGTCGCCATCCGAGTCTTGCTCCTTATCGGGAATACCGTCACCATTAGCGTCTTCATCCATGTAGTCGGGAATACCGTCACCGTCCGTGTCTTCTTCGTTGTCCGGAATACCATCGTTGTCGTCATCGTCGTCACGGATGTCAGGAATACCGTCGCCGTCTGAGTCTGGTAGCTTATCGATGATACCATCACCGTCAGCATCGTCGTCGAGGTAGTCCGGAATACCGTCTCCATCAAAGTCTTCCTTGTCGTCGGGTATGCCATCACCGTCGTCGTCGTTATCTAAAAAGTCAGGGATTCCGTCGTTGTCGTCATCATCGTCCAAGTAGTCGGGAATACCGTCTCCGTCCGTGTCTTTTTCCATAAAGTCCGGGATGCCGTTACCGTCTTTGTCGGTATCAACTGAGTCCGGAATACCATCATTATCGTCGTCATCGTCGAGATAGTCTGGAATGCCATCGCCATCAGTGTCACCTTCTTCCTCGTCCGGGATTCCATCGCCGTCAGCATCGAAATCTTCATCGTCGGGGATTCCATCGTTATCGTCATCGTCGTCTAGATAATCTGGAATACCGTCTCCGTCGGTGTCGATTTCTTGGTCGTCAGGAATTCCATCGCCGTCATCGTCGTCGTCGAGCTCGTCAGGAATACCATCGTTGTCATCGTCGGGATCTAAATAGTCTGGGATCCCGTCTCCGTCGGTATCAATCTCCTGGTAGTCAGGGACGCCGTTTTTGTTGAGGTCCAAGGTCTTCAGTGAATCAGGTACGCCGTCTCCGTCAACATCGTCATCCAACTCATCGGGGATTCCATCATTGTCATCGTCATCGTCGAGGTAGTCAGGAATACCGTCCCCATCAGTGTCCTTCTCTAAGTGGTCGGGTATTCCGTTGTTATCATCGTCGTCGTCTAGATAATCAGGAACTCCGTCTCCATCTGAATCTAGCTCCTGAGAATCGGGGATACCATCGCCATCATCGTCATCGTCAAGCTCGTCTGGTATTCCGTCGTTGTCGTCATCATCGTCTAAATAGTCTGGGATCCCGTCTCCGTCGGTGTCGAGCTGTTGGAAGTCTGGGATTCCGTCCCCGTCCGCGTCGTCGTCAAGATAATCAGGAATACCGTCGTTGTCGTCGTCGTCATCGATGTAGTCCGGAATACCGTCGCCGTCGGAATCAACCTCCTGGTCATCAGGAATACCGTTGTTGTTGTCGTCATCGTCTTGAGAGTCTGGGATTCCGTCGTTATCGTCATCGTCGTCTAAATAGTCAGGGATTCCGTCACCATCAGTGTCTACCTGAAACTTATCCGGGATACCATCTCCGTCTCCATCCTCATCTAGATGGTCGGGAATTCCGTCATTATCGTCATCGTCGTCTAAGAAATCAGGGATGCCATCTCCATCCGTATCAATTTCCAAGTGGTCGGGAATACCGTCTCCGTCATCGTCGTCATCTAATTCATCAGGAATACCGTCGTTGTCGTCGTCATCGTCCAGATAATCCGGTACCCCGTCTCCGTCAGTGTCTACCTCCAGGTAGTCAGGGATGCCGTTTCCATCGTCGTCATCATCGAGATAATCCGGCACACCGTCGCCGTCGGTGTCCACTTCCAGATTGTCGGGAATACCATCGCCATCATCATCGTCGTCTTCGTCGTTGGGAATTCCATCTCCGTCAATGTCATCGTCGAGGTAGTCGGGAATACCATCCCCGTCCGTGTCCACGTCCAGATGGTCCGGTATTCCATCGCCGTCATCGTCGTCATCTAGATAATCAGGGATTCCGTCGCCGTCCGTGTCTACCTCCAATACGTCAGGAATACCGTCTCCGTCATCATCATCGTCTTTATCGTTAGGGATTCCATCACCATCAATGTCATCGTCCAGGTAATCCGGTATTCCATCGCCATCCGTATCCACCTCTAGGTGATCCGGTATTCCATCATTGTCGTCGTCGTCGTCAAGATAATCGGGAATACCATCGCCGTCCGCGTCTTCCTGGTCATCGGGAATACCATCACCGTCATCATCATCGTCTTCATCGTTTGGAATTCCATCCCCGTCAATGTCGTCATCCAAAAAGTCGGGAATTCCGTCCCCATCTGTATCTACGTCCAGAAAATCCGGGATACCATCACCATCATCATCGTCGTCTTGATCGTTAGGAATACCGTCTCCGTCGATATCATCATCCAAGTAATCGGGTATCCCATCTCCATCAGTATCGACGTCTAAGTGGTCTGGTATTCCATCGCCATCGTCGTCGTCATCCTTGTCATTGGGTATTCCGTCTCCATCGATGTCATCGTCTAAATAATCCGGAATACCGTCTCCATCTGTGTCTACTTCCAAGTGATCGGGAATCCCATCGCCATCATCGTCATCATCCTGGTCGTTTGGGATCCCGTCTCCATCAATATCGTCGTCCTTATCGTTGGGGATTCCGTCACCGTCGATATCATCATCCAAATGATCGGGAATACCGTCACCGTCGGTGTCACGCTGTTCCAGACTGTCCGGGATTCCGTCCCCGTCATCGTCATCATCCTGATCGTTGGGTATTCCGTCACCATCAATATCGTCATCCTTATCGTTCGGTATGCCATCTCCATCGATATCGTCGTCCAAGTAATCTGGAATACCATCGCCGTCAGTATCAATCTCCAGATGATCAGGAATACCATCACCATCATCGTCATCATCTTGATCGTTTGGAATGCCATCTCCATCAATATCGTCGTCGAGATAGTCGGGTATTCCATCGCCGTCCGTGTCGCCTTCCATATCATCAGGAATACCATCTCCGTCATCGTCATCATCCTGATCGTTGGGGATTCCATCTCCGTCATCGTCATCATCCTGATCGTTGGGGATTCCATCTCCGTCGATGTCATCATCGAGATAGTCGGGTATTCCATCGCCGTCCGTGTCGCCTTCAAGATGGTCTGGAATACCGTTACCATCGTCATCGTCGTCTAGGTAATCAGGAACACCGTCACCATCGGAGTCTTCCAATTTATCCGGAATACCATCGCCGTCATCATCATCGTCTTGGTCGTTAGGGATTCCGTCTCCATCGATATCATCATCCAAGTAATCGGGTATCCCGTCACCGTCCGTGTCCTTTTCCAAGTAGTCAGGGACTCCGTCATTATCATCATCATTGTCGATTGCATCGGGAATACCGTCACCGTCCGCATCCTCCTTCGTATCGGGAATTCCATCGCCATCATCGTCTTTGTCTTCGCTGTCTGGCACACCATCGTTGTCATCGTCGTCGTCAATGTGGTCGGGAATACCATCGCCATCTGTATCCTTTTCTAGGTCATCAGGAATTCCATCACCATCATCGTCATTATCTTGACTGTCTGGGATACCATCCCCATCAGTGTCTTCCTTATCATCAGGAATACCGTCTCCGTCGTCATCATTATCTTTGCTGTCAGGAATACCGTCGTTGTCGTCATCGTCATCCAAATAATCGGGCACCCCATCTCCGTCTGTGTCTTTCTCCAGATTGTCAGGAATTCCGTCACCATCGTCGTCGTTGTCCTCGGAATCAGGAATACCGTCGCCATCTGAATCTTCCTTATCATCGGGAATACCGTCTCCATCATCATCGTTATCCTGCGCATCAGGAATACCATCATTATCGTCATCGTCATCTACATCATCTGGAATGCCGTCACCATCTGAATCTACCTCCTGACTGTCAGGAATTCCATTGCCGTCATCATCGTTGTCTTCGCTATCTGGAATACCATCATTATCATCGTCGTCATCAACTTCGTCCGGGATTCCATCACCATCGGAATCTTTTTCTTGATCGTCAGGAATTCCATCCCCGTCATCATCATTATCTTCACTGTCAGGAATACCATCATTATCATCATCGTCATCGACATCGTCTGGGATACCGTCACCGTCTGAATCTTTTTCCTGATTGTCAGGAATTCCATCTCCATCATCATCGTTATCTAAATTGTCGGGTATTCCGTCATTATCATCATCGTCATCGACATCATCTGGAATTCCATCGCCGTCCGAGTCCTTTTCTTGATCGTCAGGAATTCCATCGCCATCGTCATCATTATCCTGCGAATCAGGAATACCATCATTATCGTCATCGTCATCTACATCATCTGGAATACCGTCACCGTCTGAATCTTTTTCCTGACTATCAGGCACTCCATCTCCATCATCATCATTGTCTTCGCTATCAGGGATACCATCATTATCATCATCGTCATCGACATCGTCCGGGATTCCGTCTCCATCGGAGTCTTTTTCTTGATCATCGGGTATTCCATCTCCATCATCATCGTTGTCTTCACTGTCAGGAATGCCATCATTATCATCATCGTCATCTACATCATCTGGAATACCGTCGCCGTCTGAATCTTTCTCCTGACTGTCAGGAATTCCATCACCGTCATCATCATTATCTTGACTGTCGGGTATTCCGTCATTATCATCATCGTCATCGACATCATCTGGGATTCCATCGCCGTCAGAGTCCTTTTCTTGATCGTCGGGAATTCCATCTCCATCGTCATCATTATCTTCACTATCGGGGATTCCATCATTATCGTCGTCATTATCTAAATGATCGGGAACACCATCACCATCTGAATCGGTTTCCTTATCATCAGGAATTCCATCACCATCATCGTCTTTATCTTGACTATCTGGAATACCATCATTATCGTCGTCATCGTCCAAATAATCAGGAACACCATCTCCGTCAGTGTCGACTTCTTGGTCATCGGGGATTCCATCACCATCATCGTCATTATCTTGATCGTCCGGAATACCATCATTATCATCGTCATCGTCCACTTCATCTGGGATCCCATCCCCATCCGAATCTATTTCTTGATCGTCAGGAATACCGTCGCCATCGTCATCATCGTCTTCCTCGTCAGGGATGCCATCGTTGTCATCATCGTCGTCCAGATAGTCAGGAATACCGTCTCCGTCTGTGTCCCTCTCAAGGAGGTCTGGTATTCCATCTCCATCGTCGTCATTATCTTGACTATCGGGAACGCCGTCATTATCATCATCGTCGTCTACATCATCAGGGATACCGTCGCCATCCGAATCCTTTTCCTTATCATCGGGAATCCCATCGCCGTCATCGTCGTTATCTTCGCTGTCAGGAATTCCGTCATTATCGTCATCGTCATCTAATTCGTCAGGAATACCATCACCGTCAGAGTCAACCTCTTGGCCGTCGGGAATACCATCGCCATCGTCGTCATTGTCTTCGGCGTCTGGAATACCGTCGTTGTCGTCGTCGTCATCTTCATCGTCAGGAATACCGTCACCGTCAGAGTCTTTCTCCTGGTCATCAGGAATTCCATCTCCGTCATCGTCTTTGTCCAGAGAGTCAGGCACGCCGTCCCCATCCGAATCTTCCTGGCCATCCGGAATACCGTCTCCGTCGTCGTCATTGTCTTCGCTATCTGGGATTCCATCGTTGTCGTCATCGTTATCCAAGTAATCAGGTGTACCGTCACCGTCAGAGTCAACATCATTGCTGTCTGGAATACCGTCATTGTCGTCATCGTTATCAACGTTATCAGGAATACCATCTCCGTCATCGTCTTCATCTAAATGGTCTGGCACCCCATCTCCGTCGGTGTCCTTCTCTAAGTCGTCAGGAATACCGTCACCATCATCATCCTTATCTTCGCTATCTGGAATACCGTCATTATCATCGTCTTCGTCGAGGTAGTCTGGAATACCGTCACCGTCTGAATCACCCTCTTCATCGTCGGGAATACCATCGTTGTCATCATCGTTATCCACCATGTCTGGGATACCGTCACCGTCAGAATCTTCTTTGTCGTCTGGAATTCCATCGCCGTCGTCGTCGTTATCTTCATCGTCAGGAATACCGTCACCGTCATCGTCATCGTCTAGATGGTCGGGAATACCGTCACCGTCCGTGTCTCTCTCCAGCAAGTCTGGAACACCGTCGCCATCGTCGTCGTTGTCTTCATCGTCAGGAATACCGTCATTATCATCATCGTCGTCCTCGTAATCGGGAATCCCGTCTCCGTCCTCATCATCTTCTTCGTCATCATCTAACCCGTCGCCGTCATCGTCTTTGTCCAGGTGGTCGGGAATACCGTCATTATCGTCATCATTATCTAAGTAGTCCGGCACACCATCCCCGTCATCGTCGCCCTCATCTTCATCGTCAATACCGTCTCCGTCATCGTCATTGTCCAAGTGATCTGGCACTCCGTCGTTGTCGTCATCGTCATCCAGATAATCAGCAACACCGTCGCCATCTTCATCATCCTCGTCCTCGTCGGAAATACCGTCGTTATCATCGTCGTAGTCTTCACTGTCGGGGATACCGTCTCCGTCAGAGTCCTCTTTACCGTCAGGAATACCGTCACCGTCATCATCGTTGTCTTCATCGTCGGGAATACCATCGCCATCATCGTCATCATCGAGGTGGTCAGGGACTCCGTCTCCGTCTGTGTCCCTCTCAAACAAGTCGGGGGTATTGTCATCAGTATCGTACTCGTCCATAATCCCATCCCCATCATCATCGTTATCTTCGCTGTCCGGAATACCGTCATTATCGTCATCTTCGTCTACATCATCCGAAACGCCATCACCGTTGGAATCTTCATTATCATCATCATCATCATCATCGTCGTTATCTAAGTAATCGGGTACTCCATCCATGTCAGAATCGACTTCTTTCACGTCAGGGATACCGTCTCCGTCGTCGTCTAAATCTTTGTAATCTGGGACTCCGTCGTTGTCGTCGTCTCTGTCGTAGTAATCGGGTACTCCATCTCCGTCAGAATCAATTTTCCTGTTGATTGGTTCTCCGTCACGAGTACGTTGAATAGACATCAACTTCCGGTTGCAAAATGTGCAGGATTCCTGTGAAGATCACAAAAAGGAACATCGTCAGGGACCATTCTTCATTCAGCAGATACACTGTGGAGCTGACTTAAACCGACACGGTAAAATCCGAAAACAGGGGTAAACCGAACTATAGCCAAACCAAAGAAACTGGTTGTCTCACAGATTTCTGTTTAAGCCAACTCCACTAAAGTATCTCTAAACTGTAAATAGGAAACACAACTTGTCAGCAATTCAGAACATACATAAATCGTTTACCGCCCATGCAAAGATAAGCAAAACGTATTCTTTTTTTAAACGTAGGTGTTTTACCCCCACCCACCCCACCCCATTGACACAGTTTAGATCGTTTAGGAGGCGGGCTTCGATCCTGTCTGTCAGGCCCAACCTAGGCTGAGAGCTAGGGGATACAACATCCCAGAAGAAAGGCTGTGATACTCAGTAATTTTCCCCTTCCCACTAAAGAATCGAAGTCGAATCTCTTGTCCATGACAGCAAAGCGCCTGATCGCTACATCACAGACTCCGTTAGGATACAATAATAATAAATGTATTGTGTGTGTGCGTGTGTGTGTGTGTGTGTGTGTATGTGTGTGTGTGTGTGTGTGTGTGTGTGTGTGTGTTACGTATGCATGTGTGTGTGTGTGAGTATGAGTGCGCCTGTATGTGCGTGTGTGTGTATGTGTGTGTGTGTGAGTGTGTGTGCGCGCGCGCGCGTGCGTGCGCGTATATTATGTGTGTTTGCGTGCCTGTGTGTCTGTGTATGTGTGTAGGCGGTGAAACACCAAACCAATGTGCCAGGACCTGAACAATAAAGATGTATCCTATCTTATCTTACTAATGGAACCAACTTTACTAACAAAATGGGTCATCAATCCAGGAAAGGCAATACATGTACAACATGAACTTCTACCGTTCATCATACAAAGATAGACGAACAGGTAGGATTGTAGACAGACAGAAACCAAGGAGTTTAAGCTCCTTGATAGACACTCACAGGTGGGACGGGCAGATAATAAATGAAGACGGAAGAGTGGTGGCTCGGGTGATCACGGACGGATGGAAAGATGAGTTGGTTGAAGATAAAAACACGTTTTAGTTCATTTTAATAAGAGCTCTGAAGCACTTATAACACGAATAAGTCATACAAATGCCAAACAAGAGCGGTGTTACTAGAGACTAACATCCTAGAGATAAGGACGATAGATGTTTCATAGAAAAGAAGAAGCAAACCACACCAAAGCGCTCGCCAACCACCCACATGGATAGGGCGGAGAGCCATTAATTGGTGGATTTTAACAAAGATTCACACTGAAAACAAGATTTGACAGCCTGGATAAAATAAAGCGAACTGAAAATGTTGCAGAGGGAATTCAAAGTGAAGATCTTGGTATTGCTAAATTATTTTGCTTTATATGCTCGGCTGCAAACACGTTCAACTCACTCTATTAGGTGTAAACACATGCCAGCTATCAAGATTTTTCCTCTGTATAACATTTGCAGGCAAGCTAAAATTAAGTGGTTACCTCGTAAAAAAAAAGGTGAAAAAAAATGCTTCAGATTGCACAAATAAACGAACACGTCTTAAGAAAAAGAAAGGTAAGCACAGTCTGAAACTTGAAAACGCTAAAAAAAAAATTTTTGAAGAATAAAAGAACATCAAAGTGGAAAGGAAATAACTAATTACTTGTAACATAAAAAGTGCACTGATGATGATGATGATGATGATGATGATGATGATGATGATGATGATGATGATGATGATGATGATAAATCAAGACTCTCCTTCCACAACTCCACTTTTTCTACAATGATGATGATTCAAGACTCTCTTTCCCTTCTCTTCTTATTCTACAAGGGCTGTCCCACGGAAAACTGGAAAAGGTCTATAAAAGTAACAGTCTTTGTCCGAATAAAAATGTAACACATCATACCTCAACATGTGCTTTATTTTTCAATTTAATCACTATCCCGCTGGACGCATTTTCCCCATCGCTGGATCAGGAATAAGATACCCCCCCCTGAAGAATTTTCCGTCAAGGGATTTCAACCAATCTTTCACGGCTTCCTTGGGGTCTTCGTTGTCTGTGAATCGCTGTCCTGAAATATGGCGTTTCATTAGTCCAAAAAGGGGATAATCTGACGGGGCCAAGTCAGGACTGTGAGGGGGGAGGGGGGGGTGTGGCAGATCTTCCCAGCCGAACCTTTGGATCCAGTCTTTTGTAGCGTTTGCGGTGTGTGGCGTTGCGTTGTTATGCTGCAAAATGACCCCGCTGGACAACCGGCCTAGTCTTTTTCGGCGCACACCCTCCCTCAACTTATCAAGAGTCTGGCAGTATCTGTTTGCATTAACAGTTTGTCCTGGTTCCAGAATGTAAAAAAGCAGATCACCCTTAGCGTCCCAGAAACCGTGGCCATGAGTTTCTTCACAGATGGCTGAACTTTAAACTTTTTCGGGGGAGATGAAGACGTGTGCTTCCAAACCATTGAATCCCTCTTCGTCTCAGGGTTCATGTGGTGTATCCAAGTCTCATCACCTGTAATAATGCTTCTCAGGAATGCTTCATCGTATTGTTGGAGGTCTCCAGATGCGTTCATGACTCCTGTGACAGATTGGTGACAACGATTCAACAAAATTTGAGACACTTCAACACGTTGCGTCTTGTGGTTAGCTGTCAGCTCTTTGGGGACCCATCGATCAGAGACTTTTCGATAGTGCAGCTCATCAAACACTATCCTATGGACAGTCGACTTTTAAAAGTTTGGCGACTCGGAAATTTAGCGAATTTTTATGCACCAGTCTGTTTGAATGAGTTCGTTAACGCGACTCTTGTTGTCCTCCGTCTTTGCAGAAAAACAAGGTCCTGGGTGAACTTTCTCCTTGACATCCGTATGCCCGGCTTTGAACTTACTACACCACTCTTATACTAGTGATTTTGTCATTACTTTCTCCCTGTAAGCTGACTTTATTTCAGTGTATATTTATATAGATTTGAGACCTTTTGCGGTCAGAAACCGAATGACAGACCTCACTTCTACCCGTGACCAATTTTCAAAGGGGGTAGCCATCTTTGGAGAACTGCTGTGTTTGTTTGGTTTGTGCGATGTGCATGGTGCTCAATGGGGAAATTCCTAAATGGTTGTTTTACAAGTGTGCATAGCATGTGAAAATATTGAATAGTTTTCAAATTACAGCCAATTTTCGGTTTTCCGTTGGACAGCCCTCGTACAATGATGATGATGATGATGATGATGATGATGATGATGATGATGATGATGATGATGATGATGATGATGATGATGATGATAATGATGACGACGATGATGATGATGATGATGATGATGGTGATAAATACGAAATTCGACACAATCCTGATACTGAAGCTCTCCGTGTTTTTTTACCGTCTATTTCCACAATGGCACACGGTAATGCAGCAATCCAGTAGCAGAGTTAGCCCCACGGTAGTACATGTAAACACAACAAGTCACACCATGCCTTACTTCCAGTTTTAGTGAGACTTTTACGGCACTTGCAACACGAGTAGGTCATTGTTATTATGTGTCGAAGATTAGAAGTGTTATTAGGGAGTAGCATACAAAGAAAATAAGAATGGGCATAAGGGCGATAGTAGAAGATGATTGATAAGAAAGAAGGAGCAAACCACACCGGAGTGCTTGCCAACCATCTACATAATTTTGTCTTGTGTATAGAGTGTAGAGTATCTTTTTTAATTGACAAAACAGCGATATTACCTCACCGACATTCACACAATCGTTACAGCAACAACAGCAGAAACAAAACCAAAATTAATTAAATAAATAGATGAATAAAGATCACCAGCAACGGAGACAACCACTTCATCATCCATCTTCAAGATGTATCGATATTAATTTTAGCATCGCGACGACAACACCCGACAACCACGACGGCGACACATGACAACTACTATGATGGTGATGATGATGATGATGATGATGATGATGATGATGATGATGATGATGATGATGATGATGATGCCATTAAACTTGAAATTTTCAACTCTCCGCCAATTTTTTTCTTTTTTAAAATTTTAATTTGGCTTACTTTGATGATGATGATGATGAGGAGGAGGAGGAGGAGGAGGAGGAGGAGGAGGAGGAGGAGGAGGAGGAGGAGGAGGAGGAGGAGGAGGAGGAGGAGGAGGAGGAGGAGGAGGAGGAGGAGGAAGGGGAGGAGGAGGAGGAGGAGGGGAGAAGGAGGAGGAGGAGGAGGAGGTGGTGGAGAAGGAGACACTTTGAAATGATGTTCACGGCACCAAAATGCTCTGATTCAGATGTCTTGCTTTTTTGTTTTCTTCTGGCGTGGAAAATTTGCAGTTGTCCAACGCCATTTGATCTCGTATTAGTATTAGAGGCGTCCTGGTCTAGCAGAAAGGCCTTTGTCTTGCAATAAGATACAATCTTAATGTCCGAACCAAAGCCTGTTCGTGCAGAACTTGGTGTCCTTGGAAGTGGAATGTCATTGTGTACTTTTCATTCACCTGCACCTTCACCTTCACCTGCCAGGCAGCAGTCTGGCAGACCGTTGGGGCACCACCTTAGATTTTGCAACCAGTTTCTTCCATTCCTCGAGGTTCTCAGCCTTCCGTACCATGATGTTCCAATCACAGCAAGTCCACTCTTTCATGTTGTCTTCCAATCGTTTCTTCTGTCCGCCTTTTTGTCTTCCCCCTTCTGTAGCTTCTTGTAGAATCGTCTTAGCCAGTCCTGATGATCCAGTGAGGTGTTCGTACCATTTCAGTAAGCGCCTTTTCCTTATTTCTGTCGTTTGCTTTACCATTATTTCCCTCAAATCCTCCGTACCGATTGGAGGCTCCAGTGGTCAAGCGAGTAGTGAGTTCAGACACAAAAGTAATGTCATTGTCGGTGACATGGTATTTTGAAGCGTAGTCACTGGTGTAAAAAAAAAACAACACAAAAACAATTTTTTTTAAACAACCCCGGGGCGCTGCACAATGGTGACCAGCAATGGTATGTAGGCATATTGTTGGCGAAAATTTTCCTACATTACCGTAAAATTGTGTATTTGGTACTATGTGCGTGTGTTTGATTATATTATATTTATACATGTTTTGTTTGTGAAATTGTTCTATTGGAGTAGTAATATTATGTATTAGGTATTCTTTGCGTGACTGAAAATTTTTGTTTTTAATTAGGTGTTTATGTATACATGTATGTGCGTTTGCGGCAGTTTGCCGTTGTAACTAATTTTCCCCACGGGGATATAAACTGTGATTTATTATTAAATTTTTGTTGAAGCATTTTATACGAGGAGCCCATTGGGAGATCGGGTCGGGTCGAGTGGGTTTGCTAATACTACGGGGTGTCCACTACGGATGAGATCGGCCCATCGGGCCGATCGCCCCCGACTCGATCGCCTCAAAAACGAATTTGTTTTACGGGGTGCCCACTACGGACGGGATCGACCGATCGGCCTACTCGATCGCCTAAAAAACAAACGTGTACGTTTTCAGTTTCAGGCAATCGAGTCGGGCGATCGGCCTGATCCACCGTAGTGGGCACCGCGTAGATTAAGTCGCAAAGCGGCTATCGTGACACAAAACGATCGCCCGACCCGACCCGATCCCATCAGCAATGGGCACCGTACACCAGGCTCCCAGAGGCACAAGCAATTTACATCATTTAGATGGAAGGCGACTTCTTCCATCCTGTTTGCCAGGATAGGGTCAACCCTGGGACAAAAGAAGCCCAAAATGAGAACCGCATCCACGTCTATTCCCGGCAACCGTGATAGCTTCAAAAGATATCTTCAGCATTTTCTGTTCCTACCGGCCTACCCTTCATAAGCTTTTAGCGTTATTTTTAATTATAATTGTTCTGTGCCTACGTCTGAATGAAAATAGTTCGTGTGTGTGTGTGTGCGTGTGTGTGTTTGTGTGTGCGTGTGTGTGTGTGTGTGTATGTGTGTGCGTGTGTGTGTGTGTGTGTGTGTGTGTGTGTGTGTGTGTGTGTGTGTGTGTGTGTGTGTGTGTGTGTGTGTGAGTGCATAAATATATATTAATGATAATAATAATAATAATAATAATAATAATAAATAGCATTTGTATAGCGCATATCATTATCCCCGCTCAACAGCAGGCTCTATGCGCTTTACACTATATTATTACCCCAGCAGACCATAGAACAGTCCGAAACATTCTCAGCTTCCCGGGAAGCATACAGTGCAAGCAGCTGATTAAGCGCTCAAACACAAACAAACTGACAAGATCTTTCGCTGTCTATAGCCGGGTACCCATTCCCACCTGGGTGAAGTGAGGAAAATTCGTGTAAACTGCCTTTCCCAAGGACACAACGTCGGGTCCCTGACGGGATTCGAACCCACGACCTTACGGTTGCGAGTCCGAGAGCCTAACCACTAGGCCACCAACGCAGGAGAAGAAAGGAGTTAGTAAGAAAGGCTTTTGAAAACGGGTATTCCAATGTAATGTAAAGCGCATTGAGCTACTTTTTTTGGAAATGCGCTATATGAATGTTATACATGTATATTATCATTACTTATTATTAGCCCAGACATAATAAGTACATCACATGAGGTTTTTTCGTCTCCCTTTCTCCTCATCCTCCGTGATTTCTGCTACATGTACAACAGCCACTTGAGCGTGTAATGTATTCCTATCAACTTTGCCCCCCTTTTTTTCTTCATTGTTGTGAGTTAATTGAGAAAATCTTCTTGAGGGGTCAACAGCATGCAGAATGATCTATCAGTGAAGGTCAAACTTGGGCAACAACGCCCACAAGTTAGGCGCTTTGGTCATTTTGGTGGGCGGTGGGGATCACCCGGGAAGTGACAGGTATAATTTACTATAATGTTATGCCCTACTTGGGGAAAAAAAACATGTACATGTAGGTGGGCGACACTTCTTTTTTAATTTAAACCTCTTACTTAAACGTGGTAAAAGTAGGCGCTGGGTATTGAAAAAAAAAAGATTGACAAGCAGTGGTCCAGCGTATATATCTACGTGTGTGATGATGTAGTCTCACTGAGGAGAATATACATGGTATACATGTTGGCACGGTAGCTTTACATTTCTTGAGTCAGCGCCTGAGTTCTTTTCTGCAGCTCTGCTATGATGGCGAAAGCTTTACAGTATTTAAAAAAGCTGGAGAATATCAATAATATGCACGTTGTCGTCACATTTTCTTCTTCATTGTGATGTTGCCATCCTTCTATAAATTAATGATCTTCAAACTGGACAATGCTTTCTTCATCGTCATCAGAGCCGTCCTTGAAAAATGGATGCCTGGCGGATGCTCTGGTGTGGATAGCTCTTTCTTTCCCATGAAACATCTATCGTTCTTATCTCTCCTCCGTCTTTTCTCTGTGTGTAACTCTCTAGTAGCACCTCCAATCTTCGCGGCACTTATAAGACCTATTTGTTTAGCAAGTATCGTAAAACTGTTACTGTTACCAAAATTAAAATTACAACTATTATTTAAATCTTAAGTGAGTACATAGTACGTCCTCGGTTCTGACTACTTTCCCATTCATCACTGACTTGATTTTCTCCGTCTGTATTGTGATTCCAACACTGTCGCTGCACGCCAGCATACCGGTGACGATGTTCACATTTCGTGGGGGCGGGGGTGGGGGGAGGGGGTTAATGCAGGTGATTATACACCCACATTGACACAATTTAGATCATTTATGTTATGAGGTAGGCTTCGACCCTGCTTTCAGGGCTAACCAATTCTGAGCGAGATGCAACGTCCCAGCAGAAAGACCGAGATACCCGACAAAAGAACTCCTCATCCTTCGGTGCATTCCCCTAACAAAACTGAGAAGAAATGTCTAGAATAAAACAGACCGACCAAAACAGTTATCCCCAAGTTGTGATGGCGTCCTCTTGTTGGGAGTTCGACTATGATTCAATACAGACTACAACTGTACCATAACAATTCATGCGTGTTTTTGTGAGTGTGAGTGTGTGTGTGTGTGTGTGTGTGTGTGTGTGTGTGTGTGTGTGTGTGCGCGCGCGCATGTGTGGTTTTTTTTACATGTAGTCTAGTACATGATGGTGGTATCCTGTTTCCTGACAATTAAGATACCCACACATCGTCCCTTATCGTTCTACTGGGTACATCAGCCAACCCTCTCAGTCTCTGCGATTACTATACATGTACTAATACAAGTGTACTACCGTACCCAAGGAACTGAGATCGCTCTCTTCAAAGATGTTGGGATTTTTAGTATTGTTTTTGTTTGCATAGACCTACTTTCCTTTTTTCACACACAAAGTGCAAGTAGGTCTGCATAATAAGAATCGTGTTTTCTTTTCTCTTTATTATCTAAAGACTGGCGGGTTTTTTTTAATTTGTTTCCGTAACATTGATATTTTCTCAATTTACATTTTGTTTGATATCATTATCCAACTGTCAACTTTGGCGGTTGTTTGTTCGTCTGTTTGTTTGTTGTTGTTGTTGGTTTTCGTGGTGGGGTTTTGTTTTGTTTTTTTTTGTTTTTTGGGGGGGGCTTTCCACTTCCATTTACAGAGTACTGCTCGTCTACATTTTGTTTCTATGGTACATTTATTGCTTAAATAATTCGGTCACAGTTTATTAGAGGCCTACTATTACTACTATCATTCAGGGGTTGTTTTTCATACAAATATGTGTGCCCATGACGTGACAAGGGTATTAGTATTATCTATCTGCCATGTGTTGAAGTACGACATACTGTTGCCCTGAGGATGTAGTTTGTCACTCATTTTGTCCCTATATCATTGCGCAGCCGTATTGTTACGTGTTACACATGCATCGATATTCTTTCAAGGTTTGTTTCTATTCTACCACCAATGACTATTGTCCCACTATATTTGTTCTTACTTTATTTATTAACTAGAGCTTGTTACTCTCTTGTACCTTATAGCTCTCATAGCTCTCATGAGTGTTCTATAACATCTTGTATAGTTTATTATCCACCAGTTCTTTCGAACATGCCTTTCGTTCGAACAATAATATAATATTGATTTTTTTTTACCAGTATCGTTATCATGTGAGTGACAGAGAGCACTTTGTTTTCCAAGTCCTGTTTCTTTCATCTCAAAGCAATCATTATAAACATGTGACCTTAGCTGCCGCCAATATAAATGCATAAAATTGCACAGAAAACCATCCTCTTTTCAAAAGTAAGGATAAACTAAGTACAGCACTAGGACAATCTATGCCAGTGGCAGAGCAGGTGTTACATCCCTATTTTCAAATTCGAATCCTGCAAACTGGTTATGAATATAGTCTGCTGGTGTCGACTTCCTCTTTCCATCCACAAAGAAATAAAATCAACAGCTGAAAATTTTCTCACATTCTGACTCTAGTTCAACTTCAGGCACTTATTTGTCTTCCATTCGATGAACGCATGAAGCTTGATCAAATGACGCATGCCAGTAATGCTACCGGCCTCTTTCCCACAGAAAACAAAATACTAAGAAATTTTATTTCTCACATTGACTACGCAGTGAAAGCCTGGGTTATTTCTATGTTTATCACTTAATTTTCCTCTCCACTCTCTTCAACCACAAGAGCCAAAAACAACAACAAAAATATGATTAAAAAAGTAGAAAGGTACAACAAATGAAACCAAACAAACTTTTCATAATATACATTTAATTTTATTTATTTGTTAAAAACCTCGAACAAAATGTAATAATAACCAACACGGAGACATAGAGACTCCAATTGCCACACAACAGGCCACAGAGCACTTGCACAGAGTCTGTCCAACCCACAGGTAAACAGTGACGTTCACCAGATATGTTACAAGTCTTCTGGAACCAGTGGCATTTTTATCTTTATATGTGGACGTTTTAGCTGAATTAACGAAGAATTACACATTCAGGAACCTATCACAAATTCTGTGTCGTCATACATTTAGAGATAAAGAGAAAAGACATCTCACACTCAACATCAACAAAAAAAGCCTCAACAAAGAAGTAAAACAGATAGTAAAAAGTGAGGTTCTGTTTTATAAGTTCCAACCCGCTCCCTCCAATCATATCACTCCATCTACTCGTTTTGAAAACGGACACATTCTTTTCTCTCAAATAGAACTATTACATGTTAAGTATGTATACGTCAGGAACAAAACCCATCCATAAACAGGTCCCTCCTCCCATTACAACAGATGCGAGCAACCTAAATAATGACTTGTGCACTTCATTGATGAACTTGTGATAGTGAGCAAAACCAGGGACACCACACAGGCGTTACCTTTGGTCCGAGCAAATACTTTCAATGTTGGGCGGAAATGTAAACAGAAGAAACTGTTCCAAAAACCCTGTTCCCTTCACATCAAACACTTATAACAAACCACACACCCCAGGTACCAGTTTGTCAAAGTTACGACACGCCACAACCTCCATTCATAAACTGCACCATACGGAACGAACCACTCAAGCCACAATATGATAAATAATGAGAAGAAAGTACCCTTGGCACCTTTTTGTGTGAGTAATAAACGGTAATCCCAATGAAGGCATAAATACAGGTAGGTGGGAAAGGAAATGAAAACGAGCTGTTCATGATGGGTGACAGAAAAGTCCAGGGGTAAGTTAACTGGCATATTATATTGCAGCATTCAATCCACATAACTTTTCAAGTTTATAAAAACCAACATAAAAATTAACAAACATACAAAACTACATCACAACACAGTGCGGCCTGCCTCCCCATTTTATTTCCCCCGAAGGTATTTAAAAAAATGAGGCCAGTCTATACAAGCCCCACTTAGGAGTCTGAGTAATACAAGCAGCTGTACACAGATGTTAAAACAGCTGCCTCCTGCCGTCGAGATTTTATTTCTTTTAGGAATTCAGATACATGCATCGAATTGTCTCCTACTAACCTCAATGGCAACATCTAGAGGGGGACTTCAACTTTCTGTATCCTCTCAAGAGAAAAATATTTGGGTGAGATTCAATTCTTGCTAATGAAGTAATGGTTTAGAAACAGCATTAGCCTTTTCAGCAGTGCACATTTACTTATGACCTATGCGTATATGACTTAAAAATCGTGGACCACTATCCCTGGACTTCTGTTGGGTGCTTTTGATCGAGTAGGTCACAGTAGGTGTTTTACAGCACTATCGACACAATTGTTGGGAGCTATGACAAAACATACATTACCTTGCATATTGTCCACATAATATATTATCCACCCACCCAACCCCCCAAAAATAAACATACAAACGAAAAGTTGTACAAAACAAAATATGTGCCACCAGAGGTGAGCACACACATACTTTGGAAGCAACTTAACATATACACTGCAAATGAAACAAAAATGGCCCCTGAACAGTGTTAGAAACAAATTTTAAAAAACGAAACTTAAAAAAACCTCACACACACATGGAAAAAAAAAAGTTGCCATGTTTGAGAAAAGGTGCAAACATCCAGGCAGCACAACAGCAGCCGACATGAGGGACATGGATGCAACTATGTGTGAGACCATCACGACGACCACAGGCATCTCACGGGGGTGGGAGGGCGGGTGGAGGGGGGAGATAAATCGCTAGCTGGCGCGCGCACAGACACACACACTCACTCACTCACATACACACAGACAGAGCACTATAATAAAACACCATACAGGTTGGGGATAGGGATGAGGGGGGCAGGTGTTACAACTCATCCTTGGCCGCCTCGGAATCATCCTGGAACAGAGCAAGGCAAAACAAGCAAAGGTCACTGGTGTGTTCTAACTCTGGTGCGGATCACTTACACAAAGTGAAACTAAACAGTCAGTCTAATTTTGCAACTGCACTAACACTTTGAAACATCTATTACGGATAAGTGTATCCCAGCCTTGTTTTTGTTTGCAGTTTAAAAATTCATGTGGATCTAACTAAACATCTCTACTGTGAACGGGAGACAAAAGTACTGAGCAAAAAAAAACAACTTTCTAATAACTTCAACCTACATTGACTCCAAAGGCGTTCTGTGAGAATATCCTATTATTTGACCTACAATATGATAGCGGTAAAATTAGAAGTCTTTCTTTATTTTTATTTTTTACCAATGAAACCAGTGCCGGACCTTTGTTTTACCCATGCTGCTTGCCTCTACTACAACACAACAATTAACAAGACATTGGACTCTTCCAAAAGGTTGCTGTTTTGCCGTAGCCAGCCTTTTGTCCAGAAGCACATAAGACCAGATTGTCTACATCACAACTACTTTTAGCAACAAGTCAGCCTGCCAAGTGAGCAAGTGAAAAGCTAGAAGGATCTGGAGCCAAAAATTCATGTCTCTATTGCTGTACAAAGGAACCTATTGATACGCAACGGACAATGCCTTGTGCTGGTCACCAAGGTCACAAACTGACAATACCTTGAGACCATGAAATTATTGGTACAGTCAACAGGAGACTAGCAATAGCTGGAATTTTAATCTCTCAATTTTTCAACTTGCCATCAAGACAACTACCAACCATGAGAGTGCAAAAACTTTTGAGGGTAAAAAGAATATATCACAACGTTCAAATCTCTCGGCTTTCCGACGTCCAACAAAATGTTAGCTACACTTGAAACAGCTTTAGTCGAGGTGGCGGAACGAGTGCATGCCCTTGCCACAGGATGAGGTACACCGCTTACACTGGGCAGGCTGGGAAGGCTACGGCAAAATCACACTGCACTCAAAGACCATCATGCACATGGTTTTAGTAGAAGTTGAACTTAATTTTTTTTAAACAAAAAAACTACAAAATGATAGTTTCAATACTTGGGAGAAATTTATAAAATTCCTATGAAATATCAGTAAAATTTAAAGGATAAAAAAAATGGATCAGGGGTAGGAACTGTCTAGTCTATGTCAGTACCACAGGAGTAAAACAGCATGCCATACAATGAGAGAGAGAAGACTTGTGTACTGACTGAACTTAATTCTCAGAGAACCAAGGTAAAAAAAACAACCAAACCAACAAAACAACTGAAAATCAGTTGTGAACTTGAGAGAAAAAACACAAGAACATAACAAAGTGATTGTGAAAACGAAAGTTAGACAGAAAACTGAATAGAAAAAAACCCACTAAAAGTAATCCTGAGGACTTTACAAGTCAACTACCCGCCTATGAGAAAAAAAAACAACCATGTTCAAACTTTCAAATTCCCCTTCCTTAAAAAAAAAGGTCCGTTTCTACAAGGCTGTTGCTGATGACAGTATGAGCTTTTCCCCAGGAGTTTCCCCCCAAAGCTTCAGTGAACACCATGCGTGCATGTTGGTGCCTACTCTGCACAAAACTGACACAAACTCCAACAAAACTGTAGTGGGGCAAGCAGCAAGGTCAACAAAACTTCAGGCAGTTATTGCAGGTCCGCTCTATGCTCACAGCACATCAAAAGTCAATCTTGTCTATATACAATGATTCAGATATATGGGTAAACTTACACAAACACGGACACAAAAGTTTGAAAAAAATAAAAACAAGTGAGTATGGTTATGTCTTGATGCAAGTGATATCAGTATGACAAAAAGAGGGAGAAGGGGAGAGAGAGAGGGGGGGGAGAGGGGGAGAGAGAGAGAGAGAGAGACAGAGACACAGACAGACAGAGAGAATAGGAGATAGAGAGACAGGGAGAAAAGGGGTGAGACGTAAAGGAGGTTCCAAATGAAACAAATATTTTCCAACCACAAATACAAAGGCAGATATTCATGGACAAGTACAGAGCAGTAACAGACCGACATCTGAGGCAGAATGTTTACTCTCTCTCTCCCACAGCTAACAATAACAAAAAGGCACACAAGGCTTGCCGTGAGACAAAAACAGAATGATGTGAACGGGAAAGTGGAAGAAAAAGTTCAGGGGGAATGATCTGACGAAGGCTTAGACACTCACCTGTCCCTCCTCCTCATCAGCTTGTACCTCCTCCTCAGCATTCTCATCTACCACTCCAGCAGCATCATCCTCTTCCTCTTCTGGTTCTTCCTCCACCTGGAAATGAAAGATAAAAAAATTAATACGTACAGTCGAACTTGCTCTTCTGTACTAAGCCCAACATTTTGAAATATAAAAAAATTGCAGTTTCCGAATTTCCCAGGAAATATTGTCAAAATGTAAATTCTAAATGTTGAAAAAAGCTAGAAAAGATACGTGAAGAAAGTACAATTGTTAAGAGAATGGAACAGTTTTTTTCTCTTACCTGAAAAGTTGAGCTTTCTGAGCTTAAAATATTCTAACTTTATTATAAAATTTCCCACATTTTGCACACAAACTGACCTTCTCATCCAAAGGAATGTCTAGACTCAGCCTGAGCATCCTCTCCACACGCTCGGCGAAGCCGGCAGAGTCGGGCACGGCATAGCCAGACCTCAGGGTGGCCGTCTCAAACATGACCTGGGCAAGGTCCTTGGCAGTCTGCTCCTCAGCATCAGCCTGGTGAGAAAAGACGGGGAGAGCACATGAAGAGAAAATTTATCGCGACTGGGAGTTCACAAAACGTACAAAAGGACATTACAGTGTGATTTCATGGTTCATCTATCACAGTGTGTGAATTCATAGTTCCTCAATCACAGTGAAATTTTTATGGTTCCCATAAAACATTAACAGTTGTTTTTAATTGATTGTGCAGAAGTTTTACAAAACACAACTATCGACATAATGAGCACAATTGGAATTTACAGAGTCAGCATAATCACTGACACATTGTGCTGGGAAAGGGCAAAGTTAACTGTAAGCCACCACGGCAATGGCATCATTTCACCATGAACAGGTTTGAATACGTTTAAGAAATCCTTCCCCCACCCCTCCTCCAAAAAACATTGCTTGCAAGCTAGCTTTCACAACATAAAATGTTACGTCCAACATTGAGGCCCTAAAGTTTCAAATTGGGTGTCTGTCTTTCACTAAAATAAGGCCCTGTGTGAATTGTTTAATAGCTACTACTTTGAGCAAGCTCATGTCAACAGATCATTGTAAAAAAATCAAACAACCCATGAAGGCTCACCAGCCTTCAACTTCTTATAAAATACCAAGCTGCTGCTCAGATGCGAAAGTAAGAATTTGCAATACCCACCTCAACACGAGCTTTCAGTTCTTTGATAAGTGGATGACGTGGGTTGAGCTCAAGGGTCTTCTTTTGGCTGGCATAGAATCTGGAGACAAATTAATAAGTGATCTTGTCACCGATTTTCTCAAAGCCACAACCAAATCAATGATATGTCTATATGTATGGACGAAGCAAGAACAAAAAAAACCTCTCTTTCCAATATGTGAACCAACTCACAGGGAAGACCGCTCAGAATACGACTGCCATATGTCACTTTCTAAAATAATGTATAGTAGAGTCTTATACTAAGCAGCTGAGATACTGTCCTAAAAAGTACTCATTTTTAATAAGTCCAGAGATGGATGCTGAGACACCAATAGCAAATTAGTTGATTCACCACTGAGAAAATATTTCTTCCCTTGAGAATCCCATCAATATCAGACAAAAATTAATGACTATCTTCTTCCATAAGATATTTAAGCATTAGCCATTTTAACTCTGGGAGACTTGAGGATTTGGGACTAATGTATACCAGGTTTCTTTCATGGGCAACTTGAATTAAAAAATTTCCAAATTTTTAAAGACATTTGTGAATTCACAAAACGTTAAAAGGGGTGCTACTACACTGGAAAACATGACATCCGGTGACTCAAATCAAGAATCTTGCAAAATAAACGGGTAAACCACAAACCCCCCTGGTACACAGTATTCAAACATAGCTTGAGCCCCAAGATGTCGGGTGCGTTTTCAGGGTTTATGGGATCAAAGGGTAAACATGTAGCTACAATATGTTCACTCACTGGTTGGAGGCGTCTCCCTGCTTAGCATAGGCCTGAGATTTCATGATCCTCTCCATGTTGCCAGACCATCCATACTGGCTGGCGACAAGAGCACATGGGGATGTGGTCAGACGCTCAGAGATGGTGGCCTTCTCAATCTGGGACACAAACAAAGAAAAGCAAAATGTCAGTTATAGTATGTTTTACAGCACCTGCAGATCATCAAAGAGGTGGGCTATAGCGACCCTGCCTGCCAGGGCCAGCGCTGGCAGAGAGGGATACACACGTCTCAGCAAAAAGAATTTGATGCTCTGTAAAAGTTTTCCTCATACGGGAATCCAACTCAAGTTTTCTGCTAGCGAAGACGAAGTGCCTAACTGCCAAACCATAGACACCAAAGTGTGACACCTTGCATAGAGAAATAAGAACGATTTGATCGATAATCTTATAGAATAGATATTTTACAGCACTATCGACACAATAATTTATGAATAACAAGGTAACAGGAATGATAAAGCAGTCAGTCACATCAGATTACCATATGACTGAGTAAACATTTTACAGCACTATCAATAGAATCTAATCAAGGATTACCTTGTCCTTGAGGGCATTCTCCTTCAGCCAGTCAACCAGAGGCTTGAACTCCTTCTCCTGGGCTTCCTTCCTCTCCTTGGCCTTCTCCGAGGTGTCCAGACTCAAGCCCTCCTTGGCAATGTTCTGGAACTTCTTCCCCTCAAACTCGGGGAGCGCCTGGACGCAGTACTCATCCACGGGCTCCACCAGGTACAGGACCTCGTAGTTCTTCTTCAGCAGACGCTCAACAAATGGCGACTTCTCCACCTGGGGGGAAACAGACACAAAATTACTTCTGAGACACGAGTTTAATGTCCGCCTAACAACTTCAAACACAAATACGTCATATACATGCTGACGATCACAGAAGTTCCTAGAGAGAAGCATACAGTGAAAAGAAGGAGGATAGGTTAGTTCTCAGTGAGAGCTTATCAGGACTTGCAATACTATAAGATCATACGAGTGCCAAAGATTAGAGGTGTGACAAGAGAAAAACAGGAAAAAGGAGGGGAGATGAAGAAAATAGATGTTTGATAGGAAAGAAGGAGCAAACCACACCAGAGCACACACCTGGGGAGAACAAACACAAACTTACTTCTGAGACATATGCATAGATAATCATCAATGACATCAAACTGACAATTCAGAGCTCACAACAGAAGAAAAAAAATCAAAAACACTAGAAACAGAATTGTACCAATATCAGCTGCTGTCCCCAAAGAGTACTATGACTTTTTTTAGTTTTAGTTAGTGTTACAGCACTTACAAAACAATTTTTAAAATATTTTTGGGGGTGTTTTACGCGCTCACAACTGCATAAGATCATATGAGCGCGCGGGACACATTAATCACTTTCACTTGGTAAGAAACCTTGAATTTTGCCAGGGTGGCGGCCGAAGCCTACTCTTACCGATTTTAGACCACCAAGGGATCTTAAACGTGCCACCGAGATTTTTCACCCTTGTCCGAGAAGGCTAGGTATAGATCTTTCCTACCAGAAGATCAGGGGTGTTGCTGAAAGACAGCAGTGAGGAACCAAGAAGTAGCAATAGAAATAGAAAAGCTGTAGAAAGAGTCAGGAGCCCAGTGGAGGTGGCAAAGGAGGGGAGGGGGCAAAGGAGGTGAGGGTAGAAAAAGGTGACAAAAGCAGACAACAGAACATTACTAGAGAGCAGGAAAGGAGGTGAAAGGAGACAATTTTATAGAAGAACATTTTTCGGTCGCAACCCAGATTCGAGCCCGGGACCTTTGAATGAGAGGCGAACACCTTAACCTCTAGGCCACGCGAACCCCCTCAATACAAATTAATCATATAAATGTCAAAGGTTAATTAATCATATAAATGTCAAAGGTTAGAGGTATCACTAGAAAGTAACATCCAAAGAAAAAAGGAGAAGAGATGAGATACAGATGACAGGTATTTGGACAAGAAAGGAAGAGCTAACCACACCAGAGCACCCTATAACCATCAACAAAACCTCATATAAATTGTGTTCACAGAAAATTAGAAAAAAGAAAAATGCATACCTCCTCCCTGCTGGTTCCAGCAACGAAGTAAATGGCCTCTTGCTTCTCCTTCATTCTCTCCACATATTCTGCCAATGAAGTCTGTTCAGTGTCGGAGTTGGAAGAGTAGAAGCGGAGAAGTTTGGCCAGGCGAGTCCTGTTGGAGGTGTCTTCAATCACGCCAAGTTTGATGCTGGAGAATTGAAAGGAGCAAAAACTCACATGAGGGAGATGACATACACACTAAAGTCATTAGGTACAGTTTTAGTTTTTGCATTATAGGGTTTATAAAAAAAATCTTTTATATGTAATGTTTTTATGCTCCTATCGACGTAATTGAAATAATTTATAATTTAGGAGGCCAGCTTCCAACCCTGCCTATCAGGCCCAACCCAGGCTGAGAGGGATACTACATCCCAGCAGAAAGACAAATACTCATTAAAAATTTTCTCCCCAATCAGGAATTGAAATAACGTCTCCTGCGTGCGACAGCGAAGTGCCCACTTCACTACAGACGGCGGTGATTAGTCCATATATCAGTGATAAAATTAGAGGTATTACTAAGGAGTACAACACAAAGAAAAGAGGGAGGAGAGGAGGACACCAAAGCACCTGTCAACCACCCACCTATCAAGTGATAATAGCACAGTAGTAAACAAAACATTTCTCCTTCGGTTATTTTGAAACCTCGGTAGATTTTTTAAAAATATGTTACATACCAAACTGACCATGGAAAATAAACGAGTACTGCAAATACTCAATAAAAATGTGTATTTTCACATCACTTATCAGTCACATTTCAAGCAAAAAATTAAGATCTCATGCAAACTTCATTTGAGCTTTTTGTTGGGGGTAGACAAAAAAATTGAAGAGCTCTGATTCTATCAGAGTGCTTGGGCGGCAGCCAGCCCTACTCACTTGGTGCTGTATTCCTTCCAGAACTTCGCATACTCTTCCTTGTCAATCTTCTTGATCATATCCAGTGTCTTCCTCACCAGCTTCTTCTTGATCACCTTGAGGAGCTTGTGCTGCTGCAGAGTCTCGCGAGACACGTTCAGGGGCAGGTCATCAGAGTCCACCACGCCGCGGACAAACGACAGGTACTTGGGCATCATGTCCTCAAAGTCGTCCGTGATGAACACACGGCGCACGTACATCTGAATGTGGATAGGAAAAGTCTCATTTAGCGTTTAGTTAACGTATGGCTGAGAGAGTTCTAATGTGGTTGAACTGATTTTCTTGTTTATAGTGTGTGTGTGTGTGTGTGTGTGTGTGTGTGTGTGTGTGTGTGCGCGCGTGTGGTTTACTCTCAGGAATCACGTCATTTATGTAAAGTGCCCAGAGCTAATACTTGTATGGGATAAATCTATGTATAAATGTAATCTATTATTATTATTTTGCCTTTTATACTGCCCAAACAAAGTGATTCAGGCAGGCTTTATGGCAATAAATAATAATAATATATAATAAAATAATAATAATCTACTCCTACTACTACTACTACTACTACTACTACTACCACTTGACAAGCCCCCTGACCTTGATGTGATCCACTTTCTTTCCGTAGTTGGAGAAGGTGTCATATGGTGCTGTCTTTGGCACGTACAGGATGGACTTGAAGGTGACCTCTCCCTCAGCAGTGAAGTGAATCTTTGCCATGGGCTCCTCCTGTCCCTTGGAGATGGTCTTGTAGAACTCTCCGTACTCCTCATCAGTCACATCAGCAGTCCTGGAAGGAGTACAGTTCAGTTTTAGTTAAGAGAGACAATGGTCATTAAATGCAAGCACATAGACATGATATAGGCCATTACGTGCAAGATAGAAACAACAGGGGAAAGAAATGAACCGTCGGGTTTCTGCATCTATGCACTTGTAAGAACAAATTCGAAGAGGTGAAAATAAAATATGATATTTTAAAGCAGATGAAATTAATACAAACTTGAAAGTTCAATAAAGAGTATGTATATTATTTATTTAGTAGAGGTTTTACGGTGCTCGCAACTGCATAAGGCTATATGACTGCCAAGGGGTGGAAGTCAACAGAGAAGTCTTTACAGGGAATCGGGCTCACTCTGGTCACCTCTCTAGCTTTAACAGCACGAAGTCTGTTTTGACTATGACGAGAGTAAGGATTAGGAAAGAAAAAGCAGCAGTTCCCTGTTGTAGTTCAGGCACAGTTATGAGTATGACATTGTTGAATCAGACCATTTACAATTCTACTGTGCATAAGAATGAAAAATGTCCCCCTTTGGAAATGGCATAAAGACACTTCAGTCAGTGGCACTGCCCTGGGGGAGGAGTATGTATATACAGTGGAGTCGGCTTAAACTAAAATCTGCGAGACTGCTGGATTTTCTTCAGTTTAGAGAGGTTGCTCTGAAAAAAAAAAGGGCAATTTTCTTTTCTTAGGGTTTCTCTGCTTTCAGACTAACCGTGGTGTGTTTAAGCTGACTCCACTGTTATCCACAATTTCTCAAAACTTTTTTAAAAAATCATGTGTACCTATGGAATGACGCTGATCAGTATGTCTATTTTTTACCCCAAAACCCGAAGTGGGAGAAAGGAGAGGCAGTTTGAATAGAGCAACCAGATGGAACCCACAAGGAAAGAGTAAGAAAGGAAGGCCTAAATGTCTTGGACGAGGGACTTGGGTTTGGACCTTGAGGAGATAGAGCACTGCTGGACAGGTGGGAAGACTCTAGCTCAGGACAAAAGTAGAGATCTCTTGTTGGTGAGACAGGCTGGTGATGGTGGTGATGGAACCAGAAGTGACTTCAGCCTTACTTTCTAGTCCAGATTGGTTTGACGCTGTTCATGAGCTCCCAGTCCCACACAGTCTTCTTCACGGTCTTGGTCTTTGGCTTGTCGCTCTCCTCCTCCTCTTCCACCTTTGCTTCATCATCTTCATCCTCAGCGTTCTCCTCCTTCTTGTCCTCAGCAGCTTCCTCTCCCTCCTCAACAGGCTCCTCGACCTCAGTCTCCTGATTCAAAATAAGACGATCCCATGTACATTTAATTCCTGCATGTGGTTTGAGATATGCATCAGATGTGACATTGTATTATTGTAATTGTCAGCATTTATTTTTCCCTTCGCAGAGTCAATAAAATATTCTTAATCTTACGACAAGAAGCTCATAAGGTAGGAGATGACACCTCAAAGCGGTCTCGCTTTAAACTGGAAGAACTAACATGACTCTTACTCATGAAAAAAGAGTAGAAAGGGCAATAAAAACTGCGACACTGAGAATTCTTTAAGTAATACAGTTCGGTAGACCTGCCCACCTCTTCGCCAAAACAATAAAAGTTTAAAAACCCACAACACTTAATTAAACAGCTATCAGTTTAATTCCTAACTACTACCAAAATCAAGTCTGACACCCCATTGATTACCAAAAAAATCAGAGGAAAACCCAGCTGACCATCACCTTCTAAATTATTACCATACAACAGTCAAAAGATTACATTTAGTTTAGATTAAGTTAGAGTTTTACAGCACTTGCAGCACAGTTGGGTCATTAAAGTGCCAAAGAGAAGGGGTGTTACAAGAGACAGAGAGTACCATTCAAAAAGAAAAAGGAGGTAAGATAACGAAGATAGATGATAGGCAGGAAAGAAGAAGCAAACCACATGAGAGCACCCGTCAACCATCCACAAGATTACCTTGCTCGTCCACAGGAAGATGTTGAAGTTAATGAATTGGCTGTATTTCTTCACCAAGTTCTGCAGAGTGTTGGCTTCCAAGAAGTCATGGGCTTCTTCCTTGAGCACCAAGCTGAAAGACATAAAACACAGGGTATAGAGTACATCACCCATCATTTAGGTCCAGTAGTAACGCAAAATCCAACAAAAAACAAAGAGTTTATTGTTAGACAAAAAGATCACAGGACAGAACAAAAAGAGGCAGGAAAGCAAGCAGTAAGGAGGGAAGAAGAAGGAACCAGACAAAGAGTCAATTTATAATCTTGCAGGCACAGTACTCTCCCTAAGGGTTAGACTAAATAACACCAAAGAAGAGAAAAAGACTGAGAAATTTACATCAAGCTTCAAACAAGTACATATCTGTGCACAGATATTTATGTCTGTTTCTCCACCATTAGTAGATATGCCTTAGCCTTCTTCTGGGACTTTACACACTAAATCTATTCCCTTATCCCTCATAAATACCCAATGTTTCAGTAAGTTTGGCTTGAGTAAAGAAAATTTTAAGAAAAAAAACCTGGTAACAATCATTTAGTGTAAAGAATACGTATGAAAAACAGGCAAAAATAACAGATAAAGCAGAGTAGCCGAACAGACTCATTTGTGCCCTCTAAGCATCCACTTCTCTTTGACGCCTAGTAACATAAAACAATTCTCAACCAAACGCCAATCAATCTCGTCATTCTTCATGTCCCATCAGCGGGCAGTGGCGGAGGACTAGGAAAACTTACGTGATGGTGGTTCCCCTGCCCAGGGTGTTGCCGCGGGGATCCTTGACCACGCTGAAGGAGTCGGCGTCAGACTCCCAGATGTACTGCTCGTCATCATTGTTCTTGGAGGTCACAATAACACTGTCAGCCACTGGAAGCAACAAAGGAGGGAAAAAAAACATCACAACAATGAATCATCAGGTCATAAAATGAGAGGCCTACTGACAAAATGAGTTACTTCTCAGATGCCGGTAGACAGGAGCAAAAGAGACAGACTGAAGAAATAATTCATTAGGAGGAAAGATTCCACCAACTGCCCAGATGCATGCACCCAATTCCCCCCCCCCCCCCCCCCTCAAGATAAATGGAGTAATTTACTGGCATAACATTCTGCCTTTCTGAAAAAGATTGCTCTAAAGGGCCAAGCAAAAAAAACCAATCATCTGTTCAAAATTGATTTATTTTTTTTAAGAAAAAGAAAATGATATATTTTTTTAAATAACCAAACAACCCAAACACTTTTTTTTTCAGAAACCTCAACCTCAGGGGAAAAAAATTGTTGACTTGTCTTTAAAACAAAACCATTCCTTTGTTTTGCAAGACATTTCTCTCCCCCTCCTCAAAACACGTCACATCAACTTTGACTGGCAACTATCCACGCAGTGAGTGAATTTGCCCAGCTCCCCAGACAGTAAAACAAGTGAGAGTGAGAACACATAACATACCCAAGAAAGCGGAATAAAATCCAACACCAAACTGTCCAATGAGGTCACTGGTCTCGGTGGCTGTGTTGGCCTCGCCCAGTTTGGCCAAGAAATCACTGGTCCCGGACTTGGCAATGGTTCCCAGATTCTTCACCAAGTCCTCCTTGGTCATACCAATACCCGTGTCGGTAATGTGTAGCACTTTGCTCTCCGGATCAGCCTGTGGGAACACGAAAAACAGGGGACCGTTAGTTTTGACACCAGAGAAAGTATACTTCGAAACAAGGATTTCAACGTGAACAAATACAATGGATTTCTCTGGGGAAAAAATATTGGCTCAGCCTTCTAATGACTGAAGTCTTCAAATTTTAATGAACATCAATCTCCGATACATGCTCTTTCTAATTTAGTTTTAGTAAAAGCTTAACAGCACATGCAACATGAATTTTAGTAAGAGTATAACGGCACTTGAAACTCAATACGGTAATTTAAGTGCCGGAGATTAGAGGTACTACAAGAGAGTAACAAACACAGAAAAGGAGGGTAGTTAGGAAGGATGATAGATATTTGATAGGAAAGAAGGAGCAAAGCACACCAGAGCACCTGGCAGCGACCCACCAACCTGATGAAGAGGACATATTACAAGTGTCGAATATCAGTGGTGTTATTAGAGAGTATCATACAACGAAAAGAGGAGAGATAAGGACGGTAGATGTTCAGTACAAAAGTAATAAAGAAAGAGTCAGCCACACCAGAGCGCAGGCCAACTGCCAGTATAGCACAGTGAAGACAAACCTCAAGGCATAACTATATAAAAAAAAACGTCAAAATTCTTCCATTCTATCAATACCCTTGAAATCTGGAAAATCTCAATCATCGCATTGCAGAGAAATTTGGAACAGCTGTTTCATATCTTATACTATTATAAACTAACAAACAAATAAAAAACCCAGAATCAAAATTTGCTCAGCCCGTATAGCCAAGACGGGACAAACAGCGAGAAATCCCAGGTGCGCAAAGTCTACCCCGTCTGGCTCTAATCAAACCAAACAAACCGGATCCACTGCATACACTTTGCCGAGAACGGCCACTTCACCAGCTAAACACACTTTAAATT